AGTGAACTGTATTCGATTGTGTGATGACCTGTAATGGAACAAATGGAGGTACACTTAGTTGAAAACCTCGTGAATGATAACGAAGGTAAGATATCTGGCTTGTTTTCGTGAGTTTGAATCCAGCAATGTGACGAAATTATATTGAGAAGCAATTTAATAGATCTAAGACAGTTGTTTAGAAAGCGTAAGTCTCGGAAGATCTGGAAGGGCAAGATACTCAGCCGAGTTTTGATAAAACTGCTCGCTTGTAAGTAATGGATTCAAGAAACCCGTGCTTAAGATTACCTTCTTTATTGTAAGAACCTTTCAAACAAGAACGTTGAGGTTGAGATTAACCCAATTTTTAAGAACGTTCTTAGAACACCCCCAGAATGAGAGTACAGTCACTCGCGTGTTGCTCGAGCAGTTTTATATTTGACAACTCAGAAAAAAAAACCCTCAGTTTTCTCGAAATCTAGAAAAGTATGAACTCTGGTTAAATCTACAGCTTGAATCTACACAGTTCAGTAACCAAATGCCATAAGGAACATATTTGGACGTGGCAAGTGACCGGGAGATGGGCCTATACCCGGGTGGTGGGGGACTTCTAAGCGGTGGGGCTTATAAGGAACAGTTTACAGTGCCTCAAAAAGTTCCAATAATTTTCAGATTGGAAATATTCCAGTCAATGAAGCTGGGATAACATTACTATTTATGTTCTAGATGACTAAAATTTTGGGTAAATGGAGCTAAATGATAAAAACCCTTGATTGTTCTTACCATAACTACCTTCTTCAAAAAGTAAGCTTAAGGGGGAAGTGGTAATGGTTGTTGGCCAGCACTTCATACCTCATGGATAATAACCTCTTACTAACTGAGCATCAGGGCTGTACTGGGGAATATTAACCTGACCAAGGGCTAACATATTAGTAGCGATTGTGGAGCATTGCAAGTCTGGTCAGTAAAAAAGGAATCGAGACGTTGTAGGCCAAAGATTTAGTACAGTTAGTCTTAAGTGACACTTGAGTGACACTTCATTCCCTATCCTTGACAGATACATCGGAACATGCAATCATTCAGGCAGCTGTCTTTATAGAAGATGCAGCACAGGTAATCTGTTTGAAACAGTTCTTTGATGTATAATTGTGTGACCATGTGACCACCATCATCATCACTTCCAAGAAAATAGTTCTGTAAGATGGCATTTATGTAACACCAGCTGCTGTGGATTTGAAAAGCAATTTAGCCCTACGTAATGTTATTTGTGTGCACAAAATTTGGTATTCACCAATAACATATTTACAGCTTGTTGACAACAAACTCAAGCTATAATATAATTTATGATAATAAAAATATTATTTTGCCTGTTTTATGTGGCTTTGTAGAATGGGCTAGATGTTATTATGCTCTTGTTCTTAGTTTACCGACTCCTGAAATGCTTGATCCAGGATCCAATGCAGTGAACCATTAGGTGGCCTTGCCCAACCCATATGACTTTACTCTGAGTGAAATACATGTATTTTCCAGTGTAGGTCTCCATTACCAAGTGCTGGTGTTCTCATTTGTAAGATTCAATTTGTATGACCCTGTTTTCCTCTTCACCTTATAGTACAGGTCAATCCATCATAAAGTAGACAGTAAGTCACTATGGATGTACAGATGGTACTACAGCAAGCCCGTCAGATGGTAAGCTCAGCATATTTAGATTACACCTACATGAATGTGTAGTTTGCATGTACTCTGGACACTTAAAAGCATTCCATCTGCATCACAGTCTGCAGTGAGAGCGTGAGACCTCAATTTTTAAAAGCCTTCAATTTTGTAATGGTTTAAATAATATTGATTCTGTGTGTATCAAAATTTAGAAATGTCACTGCGTGTGACAATGTGCAGATCTAGAAAATATCCATACTCCCCCCACAGAAGGGATTGGAATTTCCTGGGGGGTGGGAGGTTCTGTAAGACCAAAAAATTTAAAGAAATGTGTAAAGCTTTATTGGAATTTCTAGAGGGGTGGGAGGAGGGGTTCTTAGAAAAAATCCCTTCTGTGGGGGAGGTATGGATATTTTCTGGAACTACACAAATCATGAAAAGTGGCTATTATTGTAAGCTATACATGTATGACAATGTTAATGACAGCTATTGATCTGATCTGATTAGTCTTTTTACTCCATTTTGAAGCATATTAGGCCACTGACAATCCAATTTCATCTGTCCCTGGCCAGGTATTCCATCTGCATTCAGGAGTGGCCATAATCAACTGGATATGCGATTTTCTTTATCCCTTCTCTAGCTGTTACGTGGTCTCCCCATAGGTATATGGGCCAGGTGGTGCACCCCCCATAGTTTAAGAAATTTTTGAAATTTTTTGGGCAAAACGCTGATGATTGGGCAAAGTAACCTGGAGAAAACCCTCTAAAAGGTTGTCTTGGCCAGGCTTTTAGGCTACTTCTCTGACATTTGCCTTGTCAAAACGGAGTTAAGGTCAAATGATATAAGGATCCAGGTATTCTGTTTTGTGTATTGTGTATGTGTATTTTGGAAATCCACGAGATGGGTATTATTTCCATCAACAAAACAATGACAAAAGGATCAAAGCAAACAAAGACCAAGACTTTTTGTAGTGGCTCTGAAAGGAGCCATTTTCAATGGCTCTTTTCGAATGAGGAAAAATTAACTGTTTTTTTTATATGTCTGTGATTTTACTAGGCTGTCGACCAAGGTAAATAGAGTATGCAAGGTTTCAAAACAACTATTTTTGGAATGATAACAGTTTCATTACATGTGAGAATTGGGAACATTTTTGTTTTTACTGCGATTTGAGTGTGTTTGAACAACACTCATGCTTTCGGGCATTGTTTAATTTTTTTTTCGGGCAATAAGGTCACTGCACTCCTCAAGTCTGAAGGTGCCTGTAGGCGTATGGGTCTCCCTCTCTTTCTTTAACTTGTGGGTTCCAGTACCAGAGTGCTTGGCAGTCAGTGCAGTCAGTTGGCCTATGAATGAAATGAAAGATACAACATGTACTTTTAGCTTAATATGTGCCTCTGAAGTTGTTTTTTGGAATGGTACTAAAATAATTCAGTTTTCAGGTTTGAATAGACAGGCACATAACCAGGAGGGCAGTTAAGTTATTTTCCACTTCAAGACTAGGAACCTTGAGAAACTTTTGGTTCACAAGATAACTCTTGAAATTTCACCCTTATCCATCTATACCTTGTGTGTCACATGTTTGGTAGTTAAAAAAAATATTTTTGGTACTGATGGTGCTAATGTTTGATTATCGCCATATCCATGCTACATGTAATTTGTAATTGATTATAAATTTAATATGTAATTTTTAGGGGATACACCTTCGTCATCTTTCTCTATCTGATGTTGGCATTTGTTGAAAAGCCTTCATCTTTAACGTAAGTATCTTCCTAGAGCTATATTATGGTAAGAAATGATCACATTGGAGGCTAAGAAGTTAACAGAACTGTAGATTAGTGGGATAATTTATCTAGATTCAGAACAACAGGCTCTCTGAAATAATTTAATAATTTATGGCTTACTTATCTTGTAAAAACTTCCGTGTGTCTTTTTCGTGTGTCTGAGTGTATTTTGCTCATCACTTCATGATTGTGTCAAGTAAGAGTTCTCTTTGCTTAGTTTTCAGGCAAACATAGTTCTCCCTGCTAAGTTTGGTTGCCATTTCTCAATTAATTTAAATCCTGCAGTTAATATCTAATGCAGAAATAATTAAATTTGCTTACCTACAATGAGCATTTCAATTGTGGAATCAAAAACAGTAAGGTACATTTTTACATACTTTGTCTGAAACTCAGTCAAGTGAGCCAGACTAACAACACTCCATTATATGTTCACTATAATTATTATTCATTATTTTTATAACTTGCACATGGCTTATGATCTTGTTACAGACACTTCTGAGTACCTTGCCACCACATTAAACCAGTTGTCAAGTGCATTCTAGCTAGTTTTTACAAGGAAAATTTACATAAATACATATCATTTTAAATAACTTCAATCTACATTGTACAATGTACTCTACTAGCTCTTATACCTGTCTTATCCCCTTTTAAGGCTCTCTTCTGATCCACGGTTTCGTGGCCCAAGACCTGATCCTCCATGTGGAGTCACAGAAAGCTTAGAGGTCATCTTCCTTATTTGCTTTGTTTGTGACTTGGTTGTCAAGGTACATGTAACTTTAGACCTCAATGTACATGTAATTAACATACAAATTTTCCTAATTAAAGTAATAAAATGTATCATTTGATACATTGTTAAATGATCAGGTGATGGAATTAATTACATTTGATGCAGTCATTCAGTTCAATCTTTTTAAAGTCTGGCATCTACACACATTTAAGAACATCTATTCATATACAGATAACATGTGTACGTATCAAGTTATTGGACATAAGCCACAATATCTGTTGGCATCTCTCAGTATTTGAGGTGCTACATGTTCATTTTGGTGTGCATGTAGCAGGGTGCAAAAAAGACCTATTTTCAAGTTTGCCCTTTAAACAAGCTGTAACTAGCAGCCTAAAAATCATTGTCATTAGCCCCCAAAATTTCATCTCTTATGTACAGTACTTCTGAAATATAAATTTTATCTGTGATGGAAATTTTCCTAAGCAACTTCACCTGCCCACCAGCAGGCAAATGAAAGAAGGAAGCCACTAGTCTGACTACAAATTACACTATCCTCAGGCCATTGGACTAAAAACTTCTTTGCAGGCTGGTGTAGGCAGTTTCCTTCTATTGATACTGTAGTACTTATTTTGATTCATTTCTGTTTATCAGAGTCATGTGCTAGGAAGACAGCAGGTTATCAAGAACAGATGGCTCTTGTCATATTGTGTGGTTCTTATAATTTCTTTTATAGATGTGTTTGTCACTCTCAGTTCAGGATGTAACCAGGTATTAAATATCACTTTTAATAAACCGTTGACTTATGTACTGCATGTTTCAGAAGAATTAACTGCAAAGTTTTGACTGGGCTGTGCTACTTAAATTGTACGTTCCATATTTAATAATATTTTTGTGGTGGAGACATGCTGGTCTAATAGTTAGTGTTAAACAATCTGGACATACAGTATAACCAATACAGAAGCAGAAAGATGCAAATATGTTCAGTCCTGAGTACAAGTACATGTAGTCAATTTTTCTTAATAAAATTTTGACAAAAACTACTCTAGTGGTACACAGAAAAGGGGCATTTTCTCAGGACTTGTTACAGGGACTTTGTTTCACATTTTTCTTGTGTTTCATTCTACAGCATGTTAGAATTCATCGACTTCTTAGACCATTCTTCTTGTTACAAAACTCCTCTTTAATGAAAAAGTTGGTGAGTGCAACTTTTCAATTTTAACAATTTAGTAATTTGAATTTCTCACTTTTTTGTATAATTTTTTACTTTTTTAACAGCATATTTTGTTATTTTGATGCCCTAAATGTAAATTCTCTTGCAGCTGCGTGCAATCAAGAGAACTGTCCCAGAAATCCTCAGGTACTGTAACTTAAGCACATACAATGTACTTCACATGTTTTATTATGCAATCTATGCTCCCCAAGTTGCTTTTCATTATTTCAATTATTGTTAGTAATGTTAGTTTAAAATTAAAACACATTTCAAATGCCCTACTTAAATGCTACTACAGTATGTATATAAACAGTTGGAAGCTGGCATAAATTAAACATTTTAAAATTTTAAAACTACAAGCCTCAAAAATACCAATTTTTTATATTAGTGTAAGGTGATGAAGCAGGTGTAACAAGTGTCTCAAAACAAATTAATTTTGACATCTTTTAACTTCAAAATTCACTTTGAACGTAATGATCATTGATTTGTTCACTCCAGTGATACATGTATTATAGGTCTATCTCAATGTATTAAAATGCTAAATCACGTTGAGATTCAGGGTTTAATGATATTTAATAGTTTTTCTACTATTTTTCCCCCAAACTGTGAAGCCAAGTTAGAATTTTAATATTAATATCAACTGGTATAATTATTATTATCTGGTATTACATGTATATGGATGTCGTGCATGCCATTCACCTGGCCAGACATGGAGCGTTTTCACTGGCATGGCCAGCAGCCATGCAAATTTATTGAAACCAGAGAAAGTGCTTACATAAGAAAAGAGTTCAGCTCCTATAGTATTGGGTTTGGGACAACAACATGGCTATCGTTTCATTGTTTTGGGACATGAATATGGCTGTTGCAACACCACGTGAAAACACTCTGGAGAAAGCAATGTGATGCTTTCACTTTGCACGCATAGGCAGACCTAGGAACTTTTTATACGCCTGCGCAAAATCATGTGCAGCTGTAACCCCCTGCTTACTGTGCATATCTGTTGACTACTAGCATGGTATGCATGTCTGTGATATGTTGTGACTGATTGGTCAGTAGCTACATGCAACTGTATAATTCATCCCTTTCCAGTGTGCTGTTTCTTCTTCTGCTTCACTTGTGGTTCTTTACAATGTGTGGCATGCTGTTTTTCCCACAGGTGAGCCTAACAAATGTAATTGTGGCAGCTTACATTGAATGTTAGGCCCAAATGATTTCAGACTAGACATGTGATTCATATGGTTGTTTTCTTTGTTCAAGGAATTATTGCTATAAATCAGGAACAAAGGAAGAAAATTCTCCTTTTGTTGACATTATTTTTACATTAGGACTGCAAACATAGCTACTCTTCATTGTTCCTGGCCTTTGAATGCCTCAGTGAGAGGCAGCTGTAGTGGCATGCTATAATTGAATAATTCTGGAACTGCTGTTCTTTTCAAGTTTTACTTGCACCTCTCATGACATTTATCCTTTAGTTACCAACAGTATCACAACTGGAGCTCAAATACAAATATGTTGCAGACTCGACACTTGTGCAGTTTTACAATATTCTGAAGTTTTGACTGAAAACATTAAATGTTTACGCTCTCCCATCCCCCTTTGATTTCTCATGGTCTAACATGTACCTTGATTTCTTTTATGAAACAACGTCAAACAATGGAGATAACATAGTGCTCATCTATTGCTCTGTTTGTATAAAACGCATTTCAACAGCCAATTGACTCAAAAATTTTGCAAGTGGTTGTAGTCAAGCATCCTGGATCAAAGCAACAGCTTTCGTTGCATTTCTAATTGTATTTATGTCCTGCTTTTCTCTTTCATGAATTATTTTTATATTTGAAGGCATCAAGACATAACAGCACCCTTGCGGTAAGGTACTTTACATGTACATTATTAAAAATCATTAATAAAATCAAGTAGTAAATAGTTACATTACTAGGAGATTTTGTATGGTACGTTTCTGTTATATATCTTTGATCAAAGTTCTTTCCCAAAAAATGAAGAGGCAAATATTTCAAGACTTAAATTTTTAGATTTCGGAGAAAAATCCATTTTAAAGAAACTAAATTGGGTGAAAATTTCCATTTATTGGCCTCTGTTAACAAACATGTGATCCTATTGGGCAACCTTTTCATTAAAGAGGCATTGGGAAAGGTAGAGTCTGCATACAAACCAAGTGGCCTGGCAAGAAGGCACGTATCTCCGGTTTCTGCAACTTGAAGTGACTAGGAGTATTTCTACCACCCGCCTCAGGGTTCGAAATTGCGCTTTCCTGGTCGCCAATGTGACTAAAACTTTTGCACTGGCAACCAGAATTTTACAACTTTGATTTTCAACCAAATTGATTAAAATAAAATTCAAAGCAACCCGCCAATTGGTCACTTCCTTTTTACTTGTTACCTTTCCGCTGCTTTTGAAGTATAAAACCGATTTTCCTGTTATTATAGCGGAGCTCTGCGGCCCAAAGGGCCACCAAGTGGAGCCCCATACTCATATAGGAAAGAAAAGGAAACCCATGAGTTGATTTTCTCATGGTTATCATGGCTAGCGGTATTGCTCGTGGGCGCGTGCGCACGATGATGACGGTGGCGGAGTGACCCAACATGGTGGCCATACTCCAAATAATAGGTTGTCAGAGACATGCAGCCTTGGTTTACCGTGTACTTCCTTGATATTGGATATCCATGTTATGATCAATTGGCATCATTCTGTCAAAACAAGGTATCTGCTGACCAGTATCATGTGACCATATCACGGGCTCAAGTTTACAGTTCCTCAAGGTCACATGTTTTTTGAAGTTGACCGCTGACCAAGTGCTGGTTATCGATTGGATCGCGGGCTCATATTAGGTTAACTTGTTGGAAACAGGGCAGGATTGTTCGGAAGCCGGTTAACGCAAACCCAGGATTAAAATTTAACCAAATTATAACTTTTTCTTCTATACAAATGATTTTTGCTGTTCTTTTTAGTGTATATGGTGATATTTAAAACTCAAAACAGAAGGCCAAACAATATACAGAAAGACTCACTGCAAAGTTTCAAAACTCAAATCAAAATTCTACCTTTTTCTGGGTTAGCTTAATCAGGCTTTGAACAACCTGGCCCAGGAACTACGCTTTTAGGCTGGCCTAAATCTATATATTAAATCTACCACAACGTTTTACAGCTATGATCAGTGCGAAGCTTCGCCGCTGTGTTTTTTCAGCAGTTTCCCATAACATATGTATTGCAGGCGCAAGAGGCCCCATGCATTCTTTTGCCATGAATATTTATCCAGGCGATGTGGTGTCCAAAAATGTTCTGAAATTTTTCCGTAATTTATTACAAAGTGGAGACGGAACATCCGCGAAGAAATTAGATGAAGATTTAGATACTCTCTGGGCATCAAAAGGTGGAAATGTAGATCTGTCAAAGTGGTCAAAAGATGATTTCAGCACTGGTTTGATTCCTGATTACATTGATTGCAAATATTTTGCCGGCAAGCCCGTGGCGACCAAAAATTTTGGTTTGTGTTTCGCTGTGAAGGAAAAATTTTATTCACACTTTTTGGCGACCACATTTTTCCATATGGCGACTGAAAAAAAAATTTCAGTCGCCAGTTGGCACCTGCCGAAAAAGGTTAATTTCGGACCCTGCCCCTGGATGGGTTGCTTGTCCATCGCAGCATTGGATTTTGGCAGTACCCATTTATACACCTGGGTGGAGAGAGTCACTGTGAGAGTAAAGTGTCTTTACCCAGGAACATAAATCAATGACCCCAACCAGGGCTTGACCCCGGACTTCTTGATTTCGAGTCAAACACACTAACCATGAGGCCACTACGCCAAGCAACCAGGAATTGTTTGCTAACACATAATTTTTGTGTTAATTTTCAGAGCCACCAGTGTAACTCGAACAATAACAACTCAGCAAGTGGTGCCGCATGTGAGGGGTACAAATATTTTTCAAGGCTGGAAGATTCTCTGAGAAGTCTTCTTGTACTGCTGACTACAGCTAACAATCCAGATGGTAAGAAGTTTTGTTGACTTCCTTTGGTAACCAGTTAAATTCCTTGTGTCTGCAAGAGCAAGGAACAGTCAAGAAGACATTAAAAGAACATTCAGACCACTTGATGATTTAAGACTAGACTAGACTAGACTAGAGTGCCTTTATTTTAACACGACAAGTTTTAAAGCTAAAAGCTTGTGGGGTTGTGTATAATATAAAAAAAGACGTAATAACAATGTAATTAGTAAAAATTAAAAACTAGTGACCTTATAAGAACCTGATCTATATTTATAATATTTACACGTCATAAAACAATCAAATATGAATAAAATTGTCATCAGATGCCGCACAGTTGAGGCGGACACAATATGATTCAACAATCATATTGTTCTTCAAGACTGTAATCAGCTTTAAAGTCAATGTTCTAGTTGGTAAAACTCAGAAATGAGGGACAAAGGGTCTTGAGTTATTTTGGGTGTGGTCAAATCTCTTGCAATGTGCCTGTCAGTCAGCAAATTGAATCTTTCCTTTCTCCAGCCAATCAGCCCTTAAGCTAAAGTCACATGTGATTTGTGGCACGCTTTCTTCCCCCGTTTTTCGTCATTCATTGCACGTTTCCCGCGCTCTTCACCGGCTACATTTGACTGGTGTTTGCCACAAGAGGCGTGGTTACGGACCCTGTAATATCATTCTATTTTGACTAAAGGAAGGATTATAATAATGAACTTGCACCAGAGTAATATTGTTAGCTGTCATTTTGACACAATCAGTTGTTTTCCATCATTTGTCTATTTTATTGTTTCTAATCAGTGATGATGCCCGCGTACATGAAAAACAGATATTACGCGATTTTCTTCATTACATTTACTGTGATTGGTAAGTACTTTTATGAAAAAGCTGCTTTCAATTTGTTTCGATACAGTTATTGTCTTTAAAACAAGCACATATGGTCTGGATGGGGGAATTGGAATTTCAGTTATCAGTCATATTTTCTGCGATTTCTCAGCTATCAATAAATTTTGCAGATCTGAGCTGCGTCACGATTTTCGCATCTTGAAAAGTTTAGCCAAAATTTTTCAAGCTCGTCGTTTGCAATCCGTGTCAATCCTCTCCATCCTAAACCATCCTTGTTCACTTATGGTTTATTATTACCTCTTTGGTGTTTTTCTATGTTAATAAACTATTATTTTCAGGTTTCCTCCACTGAAAAGGTACTCTTGTGCATGGCCAAAGTAACTTTAAAAAACCGCGACTGAGCTCTGTTATAAAACAGCTGACAGATAATATTTTAATATTAAATAAATAGTAAATAATACTAATAAATAAAGAAAAATTTGTAGTGGCACACAGCGAGGCTCTTTATCCAATGTTTCCAGAACGAATAGACCTTTCCCGCATTCCACTTCAGTGCGTTCGAACAATAGCACCTGAGCGAGGTTGGGGTGCACATTTTCATACTTTTGCTGTATTTTTGTCCACCCTGACCTCGACTCGGCACTATTGTTTGTTGGAATGCGGGAAAGGTCTATTGGAATTCAGAAGTGTTGATTTTTGAGGAGGGAGGAACACCCGAGAACCAGAAGAAAAACTCGGAGCAAGGCGTGAACCAACTACAAACTCAACCCACTTATGACGCCAGGTCCAGAATTCGATCCGGGGCCATACTGGTGGGAGGCGAGCACTCTAACCACTGCGCCATCCCTGCTCCCTGCCATCTCAGCCACCACATTCAGTCCCTCAGTACTACCCACCTACAGTATAATGTACAGCACCGTGAAGTTCGTGAACCTGTGACTCTCTGTTTGCTTTGATACAGGTCTTTACTTCTTCTTAAATATGTTGACGGCTGTTATCTACAACCAGTTCAGAGGATACCTGACTGTAAGTCTGCTCTGCTGTGAATGTTTTCCTGTGACTTTCCATTGTCTCCATTCTATTGCTTCGCACTAGGAAAGGGAAGTTATTAAGGATATGAGTTATTTCAACGTATTTACTTCACATACATTGCAGTCCAGCGGAGAGGTTCTGCTTAATGAACAGATCAGTTTTCTGGTAGCTGCCTGTTTGGCAGTTTCCTGGCAGAAATCTGAGGGTTTTTTTATTGAACGTTCCTCTAGAGTTCACTTCAAGCAAGTCTCTTCCGCAGAAGGGTTGGTATCAGAGCGGCGTTTGAAGTTTTACTTCAAATTCAGGATCCGGATAGCGACGTGCCTTTGTAAGTAAACAGATCCTCTTCTAGAGCTTGTTTGGATCTTTTTTGTTTTGGCGAAATGGAATTTCTTTTATCACTCCAGTCGTGGACTGAAGCATAGAATATCGCGCGCTAGTTGAGCAATTTTGCAGATGTACCGTAATCTGCAGGTCACATGACATATGTATTTTATGTGATCGATGTATGAAACGCGGTTAAATAAATCCTGACGTAGGCAAATTTGATGAATGGCGCATACACATTTTAACATTAACTTGAATTTTAATCGGATTCACCATCATGTTACTCATGTTTAAAGTAGTTGAACGTAATTCAGTGGGTTATTAAAATCGACAATTATTTTCTTCACAGAGGAAATATCAGCAGCGCGGATGCTAAGAGAGCCATAGAAAATGCAAACATTGGCAAAAGATCTGGGCAAAACGTATTTGAGGTAAGCGACCTGTTTCTCTCGCTCGCTAAAAGAGTTAATACTCTCGGAGTAAGGAATTGAAAAAAAATTCTTTGTTACTCCTATCCTATCCTGTTTTGATGCTTGCTTTCCAGCCGTTACTGCTTGTTATCGATCCAAACGACTTGGTATCTAGCCAAATTGCTCTTCCTACCTTTCAGCGTTTAGCTCAGAATCCGTCGGACCACCTCACCGCCAAGCAGTTTCAAGACTTGTTTGAGGTACTTGATGGCAGAGGCACCAGGTCTCGGCACAGGCCGGCAATGAGCTATGTACAGCATCCATTGCTCAGAAAGATTCAAATCCTTGTTTCTAACAAGTGTTTCGACTACGCTGGTGATTTTGTTGCTGCGGTAAACGTCCTCCTTGTGTCTGTAAGTAGTTTGTTTCTTTGCAATATGTAGGCAAGGTAACTTCAAGGCGTTCAACTTCAATGGACTGAGTTAGAAGTCCCTAGTATTGTCAGAAGTGTTGTTATCCCCCTGCAGATGGTGGTAGAACGTCGTGGCTTCCCCCTTCCATCCAGTTAGGTTCTGCCACTCCCCATAGCCGGTATACTCCTGGATAGAGAGAGAGAGAGAGAGAGAGAGAGAGAGGCACTTAAATAGTAGAGCGCCTTGTCTAAAACGGAGCACAAGGACCCGGCGGTTAATTCACTGGAACTCAGTCCTCTTGATCCATAAATGATCGCAATAATCAAGGGGCCAGCACACCTTCCAGTATCAATGTTTGCAAAATCATTTTTTGGTTGAGTATTGCAAAGGGGAGTTGGAGTGTTTGAAAAACCTCAGATGTTTATTTTGCTTTCAGAAAGCAGCATTCGCCAGCATTGCTTGCTTACAGATAGGTACTAGCTACAAGCTACAGTTCCTATTCGAGTCCTAAGTTGTTTTATGTGTTTTCCAGGTCCTACTAGACTACGAATACGACAAAATATTGAAGAAAAACAACTCTGATCTAGCGGTGAGTAACGTCTGTGTTATGATTCATTTGTTATCACACAGAGAAAACCTGAATTACCTGTTTTGTGTTTGAATTTTTACTTACTGCGCCTTTCAATAGCATGCGGACTCTAAAATTCAAAGCTCAGCCGACAAATGCGTTTTTTCGCTACCGTCAATCAAATGCTCGGTGGCTCCTCCCAGCTTCCGACTACTGCCGAGCGCGCGGTAATCTATTCTTGAGCATAGTTCAGACAACGAAACAGTGCTCGGAAGCAGTCGGAAGCTGGGAGGAGACGCCAAACACTTGATTGACAGTAGCGAAAAACGCATTTGTCGGTTGAACTTTGAATTTTAGAGTCCGCATGTTATTGAAAGGCCCAGTAAAGGGAGTTTCCAAGAAACCCGAGCTAAAACATGAGTCACACGTTCTTCAAGTTTTCGAGATTCTGCGGGTACATGTCTGTCGTCGCCATGGTCGTGTGGGTTGTGGCCGTTTCTCAAGTACTGTTCTACAACAGCGCACCATTATTGTCAGCTTTCCCCTGAACTGTTATGTGTGGAGTTTGAGTGAAACAGAGAAGCGGGTGCTTTGTATTTGATGCAAGTGATACAGATATCGTTGTACTGTTGTTTTCTTTTCCTCTGAAAATCCCAGAGGAAAGGGAAGTTTTGAAAAGTCATTTTATTTTTGCATACTAAATAGATACGCATAGCACTTGCATAGCCAAACCTCAAATGTGTTTAAAATAAACTTGCATATTTATAACCACATCACTAACATAAATGCCTCATCTACCACACATGCATTACTTACAGAAGATAGACTATTTACTCTCACGCTATGTTACGTTCTTGGCTACTTTTTTGCAACAGAAATATAGCCGGAGAATAGTTAATGGTCCAAGAGAAATGATTAATGATTCTCCGATGTGTTCACTTATAGTCTTTCCGTCCTTGTGTGTTTTTTATTGCAGGCTGCAAACTTCTTTTTCGTGTTATATTACCTTCTGGAACAGGTAAGAATATTGTACATAAAAAGACCAGCCTAACGATAAGCCAATGGTTGTTAAATTTCTAGCTAAAAGGTATGCATAAGACTTGCAAAATAAACTATTCATACCTCTTAAGCCATAGAGGAAACAGAAATATTGCTCTGCAGCAGTAAAGCACTCTGTTTTACTCTTACTTACGATTTGTTTCAAAGCTAGTTTTTCAGTTTTAGTACAATATTGCCGTCGTCGTGGTGTATCGCTGCGCTAAGATCTTTCATCGTTCAGGGTCTTATCTCAGAGGTTGCAATTGCTGATTAGGAAGTCAGAGCCCCTTTTTGAGTCTGTTCTGTTGTTGAAGCTCCATGACATTGTATATCAACCTGGCAACTCCTAATGCACGGCGCTAATTCAAAACTTCTTTTATTATTCTTGTACCACATTTTCATGAAAGTGTTATGTTAGTTATTTCATTTTGCATTTGATTTCTCATCAGTTGATGAAACTATGGGCTCTTGGTTTGCAGAGATATCGCTCGTACAAGGTAGGTAATTAGCCCATGTTAGAGCAGTTTTCAATAGAGTGTCCTAAAACCAAAACCAAAGAAATTGCTCTGGTCAGTCACAACTGACACAGACAATCCAGTGAACCAATAAAAACTCAATGAAGTGAAAACATGAAGCTGACGCGAAGCGCGGGAAAATGTGTGTGAGAGAGTTGTACGGGTCCGCGAATGATCCCAGGACCGCAAATGATCCCGGACCGCAAATGACCCCCAAACTGGACCGCAAATGATCCCGGACCGGAAATGATCCCCATATTGGACCGCAAATGATCCCGATCAAAAAATAAGGAATGGCACAGATTTATATCAGAGGAAGGTGACAACATGTACAAGAATTATGAACTAAAAAACATGTTTTATCATTTTACAAAAAAATATTCCACAGCTGCTGTGTTGTTCTTCGAAGAGTACAGATCGTTTTCACTGTCACGCAATAAAAGAAAATAATAAATCGAAAACCAAACAATGGAAAAAGCTAAGAAATTGTGATGTACGCTATAGAAGA